GCCCTACATGTTTTTTAGGAATGGGCTAGACTGAGATAACAAGGGGTATCTGCATTTACTCTGTGACAGACATTGGGAGAAATCCTGGAAATACATGAATGATGAAGACAAAATTGCTGCTCCACGGAACAGTTAGGAAAAAATGGCAAATAAGTATTTAAAACATGGTGAGATAAGTTTTCTAATGAAGATATGTAAAAGGAGCTCTAAGAACACAGCAAAGGATGGGCCTAACCCTTCCTTCTGTACAGAGGAGACCTTCTCTGGATCCCAGTGATAGCTCATAGCAAGTGACTGGCTGTCTGCGCCTGGCACGGTTGCAAGCATATTACACATATTTATTCATTTAGCTCTTACAACAACCCCATGAGGTAGGTACTTTTATTATCATTTTCATTTTAAAGATAAGAAAACTGAGGAGTATAGAAATAGATAACTTGCTTAAATTCCCACAGATCTGTCCTCAAACCTAGGCAGTTTGGGTCCAGAGCCTGCCTTCTTAACCCACATATGATCTGCCTCATTTGAAAGAGAATTCAGGATCTTAAAATAAGACCACGTAAAAATGATGAGCATATTAGAGGGCATACACTTATGGAACTGCAAGTCATTTGGTTTGATGAGTGCAGAGGATGAACATAGGGTGATGAGGCCGTTGGGCTGAAAACATAACGTTCACATAGCCTCACATATATGGGAGCACGGTGTGTGGACTGTGGATAGTAGGGATAGGACTAGACAGGATGGAACCCATCTCCAGTAGTCACAGTGCTAACAGTTTAATTATACTTGAGATGTAACTGTAAAGTCTTAACATAGATGTTATTTTAACACATCTGTTTCATGGGCATGGTCTCTTCCCATCAGTCATCTTGGGAAGCTCTGCTTTGATTTCTGCCAAGTTCCCATTGCTCAGAGCAGGTTGGGAATGTCTCTTCTAAAATTCCTTCAGAGCAAGTCACAGTGAAAAGCCTATTATCTTATGATCATGCCTCGTTTTTGTCTCAAATGTTTTTCCTAGTTTGGTCACTCACCCCATTTACTTACTGGTCTTGGCTCCAAATAATGTATGCCTGTTTGCTGAAATAACATGCGCTTTCAAATCCATTCTCAAAAAAACAAACTTATGTATATTTCTACATATAGTGATTCTGACTTTAGTATGTGCTTTAAAATCATGTTTTGAATGACCAGCCCACACTTCAAGAAGTGTACATTTAAGGATATTCACAAGAAAGGGTGGTATATATTAAGGTAGTTCCAAAAGAGAAATTCCAAAAATGTTCTGGTCAACAGGGATATAAGTGGCATGTATTGTGCCTACCTTGGGGGCTATTCTCTTGTAGATGATGCTTATTTAGGATAAAATGTTCAGTTTTATTTTTGAAAAGAATCAGCCACCATTCTGCATGGTCGCACCATAAACACTGAAACCCTCTGTGCCTTGGGAAGGACCCATTTCATGTGTTTTCTCAATGACGTCCTACTTGATGCTCTGCCTCTGTAAAGAGAGGTGTTCCTTTTTGAGCCAGCTGGATCATCTCAGGATTAGAGGATCTAGTAATCCATCTAACATGACCACGTATTTTTTTTCTCTTAAAAAGAATGAGCTGCCTTCATTTCTTGGACTCAGAGCACTAAATCCCAAGAGCAGACATGGCAGATCTGACAGCTGTCAGTCATATTCACAAAGGCCAGGTTCACCAGGTGATGGATTGACCAGCTGCAACTGCTGTCCTAGGATAGTCACCATGGCAGGGAAGCTCCAGAACCAACCTTCACTCATGTCAGGATATATTGCATTTTCTATTCCTTTCTGAATCCATGTGACCACCTAAATTTTTTGATTAAGTTACCTGATTTGAACAAACATAGTTTTCAATGAGAATGCAAGAACTTCTAAGTTGCCTTACTTTTTATTTATCAACTATCCTGTTGCGTTCACACCTACTGAAGAGAATCTCATACAATTGGAAACAGAAATTGAGAGCTACAGTTTATTTTATTAAATTCAGTTTCACAGGTGAGTCCTGGTTTCTATTGATGGCTGACACGGAGCCTTGCCAGGGAGTGAGTCAGGCTTCTCTAAGGCACTGCTGGGGGCACAACACAGAGGTTCCTAGTCTCTTGGCAGAGCTTTGTCTCTGGAAACCCTAGCCCCAGCCACCTGTTCTGTCTGGATCTGAGGATCCAGTATTATCCACCTTGAATAAATGTGGACATTGTATGATTTGTATAGCATCATTTAACTTAAACATTAAGCTCTGGACTGGTTTAAAGCTTAGTGAAGTATAGAAATAGAGACTGTGTTTAGACTCCTGTGAGTAAAAAGTTTATAAAAAGAAGAGGATTTTGTTTTTTTGATCCCAGCCTCTCTTTCTCTTTGACATTAACAAGGACACATATATTTTCTTTAAGAGTTTCAGGGACAAAAAAGGAAGGAGAGATTGGATTGCTGTCAAAATGGCCCCCAACCAGTAGAAGCAGTGATCAGATGGCCAACCACATCCTCTATCTTTACTCTCTCTTACGTCTGTCTTTCCTGTCCCCTACATAGAGTTGCTAGATTTAGGAAAGAAAGAAAGAAAGAGATAGTGGGGAGAGAAGGAGAGAGGGAGGGAGGGAGGGAGGGAAGGGGAGGGAAAGTGAGTGGGGAGGGGAGGGGAGGGGAAGGGAAGAGTGGGGAAGAGAGGGAAGAAGGGAGGAAGGGAGAAGAGGAGAGGAAGGGAGAGAGGGAAGGAGGGACCAGGATGCCTAGTTAAATTTAAATTTCAGATATGCAAGGAATCATATATTAGTATGTATCTCGTGCAATATTTGGGACCTATTCCATGACCCTCTTCCATGCCTGTCCCACACAATTCAGGGCTCTTCTCTTATTTTCTAGTGGTTTTCATTTTCAGAAGATTTGTCTCTCAGTTGGATCAAACTCTCTTTCGGGCAGAATCTTATTTGGCATCTTTCAAGGCACCCTAAATATCAGCTTCCCTCTTTGGGGGTCTATGTTAGATTTCTCCTTAAGCATTTCCCTCTGCTGCAAGTGCAGAACACCCCTGAGTACCTCATGCCTTTCCTCTCTGCACCTGCAAGGTCATTATTTCATGTACAATGGCTGGCCTGAGCATAGAGCCCAGAACATAGGGGTGCTGTATATTTTTACGATTGGTTGATGAACTGAAAGCAATTTGTTGTCTTGTTAAGAATCAATTAAATTCAGCATTTATTAACTGTTTACCTGCATGCCAACAGTTAGTAGTATTACCATGTGGCTCATCTGGGAAGTTAGTAACTCTTTCTCTTTTAGGGAAATAAGATACAGGAAGGGAATAGGGTTGAGAGCTATACCCAGATTTTGCAGACTTGTGCTATGGTTCAGCCAAAAAGATGGAAATTTAAAAATTGTCCTCATATATGGAGAATCACTTCAAATTTTAGAATATCACCTCTCAAAGAATGGAGATTTTGCCATTATGTATCATTGACTTTCATTGACTTTTCTAATCCTAAATTTCTTCTCTGTCATGTTGGTTTACAGTCACATATCTATAATATTATAAAACTAAAAAAGAACTTTGAAAGCCAAAAGAATGATATAAATGACAACATATTCAATTCTCATTAAAAAGCTTACCAGCCTGTAGAATAATGGCACACATAATTTATAGAAAGGATATCAGATAACCAGGTGCCTTTTTACACCTGGATATATTGCTTCTAATTAATGATATTATTTAAATCTTCCTTCACAAATGACACCTAGCAGGCTTTGAACCTGGAGGATTAAGTTATGGATGTCCTGCTTGGTTGAGTAATTTTCAGGTGTAAAATGCACAGAAGAGTGAACACATATTTAGAAATGTCTAGATGGTAAGTTTTGTACCAGCGAGGCTTATCCCAGGCAGCATTGTGAGTGTGGTCCCCAAAGCCCCAGTCCGCCTTTCTGAGCCTTTTCCCCAAGCTCCTAGTGTCCTGCTACCTATACAGATTTGCATCCTTTGGAGGATGGAGCTAGGCCAGGAAACTGCCCCGTGTCATGAAATCCTGCTACTGTGCCTGTCCCTGAGCCCTGCTGTGAAAACTGTTCATTTGACTATAGGAAGAAATGACTGTGAATAAAACAGCTGCCAAGCTCATATCCTACAACAGTGAATAAACATAAACTTGCTGTCATACATATAACCATTCATAAAAACCCATAACTTAATGTGGCTCTCCTATGTTTTGAGTGTCCCTGGAGTTAGGGGAGAAGAACAAAGGCTGAGCATGAGAAATCATGTCACTTTCTCACCAACTCCAACATCATAAACATGCGAACACAAAGCTCTTATGAAAGCAGATGATCATGTATGTGAGAAAAATCGAATGTGATAACCTCAAGGCTAAAGCTGTGATTGAAAGATCTTTCTGGAATGTTTGTGTTTTAGTCAAGTCATAAATCTTGTCCTATGTAGCCTGCACCTCTGGTTTCAAATGAATTTCAGCTCATTAGCCACATGTTGAAAAAATAAGAATGTTAGAATATTGACTTTATTTGGAACGTGATTAAGTCTGCTTTATTTTTTAATCCAGGTAGACTCCTTGTTTTAATTATAAATACCTAATAAAAACAATTAGGCACAGAGTGAAATAAATGCTTATGTTTTATTCATGACAGAAGTAGTTGTTTTATCATTCAGGATGAAGCCTTATAATACCCTTACAAATTCCTTAATATTAAAATAAGCATCGCTTTGTTTTTGTTGAAAATTCTCTTATTGGATGATTGGGTTTGGGTGGGAAGTGAACCTAATGATTGCAGAAATGTGGTGATTCTAGATCATTCCTACCTGATACTGGAATGTGCTGATTATAACTCCATAGCTTCATGGATCTCTGATTTGGAGGATATTATCTGTAATAAAATTACTACCAGGACCCTAGTTCTGTTTATTTGAGTAGCATTTTTATCTCGCTGATTTGAATTCAAATGCATTATTAATTTTGTTTTCTTTTTACTATAGGTGGAAAACAGGCCAAAATATTATGGAAGAGAGTATGTATTATACTATTCTTTGTTTTAATAATTTAATAAGTAGTCATTTCATGTGTCATTTAAATATTACAAATTTTCTAATATATGGTCATCATATGTCTATTATGCAAGAGTTTCATGATAAGAATAAATGCAATCAGACTCCTTTGAATTAATATTTTTTATAGCACTCAAGTGCTTAGTTTCCATTAATGTGGGAGGGAGAGCATCTTGCGCTACTTTTCACTCCACAAAAGAGCTACTGAGTGCCTGGCAAGTACTTGAAACGTAAGGCAGCATTTTTCATAATGGAGGCTGTCTGTCAGTGTTTCATTTCACTTTCTACCTCAACACAATAGAAACGTTTGGGGTGTCCAAGATGGTACGTTGTATCTGAGTTCCTGACTTTTGTGTACCTCCGTGCAGTGGTCAGGATAGGTATCCCACTTCCCTGCATTCTCATAAAACCCAAATGATTTCTCTTGGCTTGGCTGTATTAGCCAAATTGCCTTAATACTCTCCTTTCCATTTTTCTCTTAATTTCAACTCTTGTTTTGTTTCATTTTTTTCCAAAACCTACTGCCCAGCAAATACACATGACCATAAAAATAATTCACAGTCTAAGCCTATGTTGTGTACAACACATCACAGAGAGCAGGCAGAATAGGCCAGGGGAGAGGAGATGCATCAATCACTTTTCTTCCCAAGTCCAACCTGGAGGCATTGTGAGGCAACGTCTCTTTAGAGTCTGCCTTCCAAGCTCTCACAGCCAATCCTAAACCTTCGTCTTGTTTCCTTACCCGTCAGAGCCTCATCTTCATGATTAATGACCCTCTTAGTGGTCCCAGCCCAGTGCACCTTCCTAATTGCCACAGCTGCATTTCAGAACCTTCCTGGCAGTGCCCTGGGAATTTGACCAGCACCTCTGGAATGCCTGCCTGGGGGCACTGGCCTCCGCTCCTCTCCACCCCATGTCCCTACTATCTGATCTATGTTGTAGTATGGCTTTTTTCCCTCAGTATGCTTATTTGTTTTTTTCTTTAAGATAGCACAATTAATTTTTTAAAAATAGAAGAAAATGAAAACCTACCATCTACACTTTTGCATGTGAATTCTAAAAGGAGCTGTTTATTATGCATTTTCTTTTTTGCAGAAAAGTTTTCTTGAATGACTTTTTAGTTCTCATCTTCTTACCCCCAATTCATGTAAAACATATGAGTGTCTTGAGACTAAGGAAGTATTTTCTTAACTACCAAAAGGAACATCTTTTATTAGATGGTAATTAGCCTAAAACCTTCAGATGCTGTGTTTCCGTTAATTTTTTTTAAAAAATGAATGGTGTTTTTTTCTTCCACTTAAAAAGTAATACATGCTTCATTCAGGAAACGCACATACACATTTATTCCTAGAAGGAATCACAAGAAATTATTGAGAATGGATACCTTTAGGGAGAGAGGACTTTTGCATTTTTAGTTCTTTTGTACCTTCAACTTTTGAAATTAGAATTTTCTGCTGTGCACAGGTGTTACTTTTGTTTCAAAAATAAATTATGGCTGCGCACAGTGGCTCACGCCTGTAGTCCTGGCACTTTAGGAGGCCAAGGAAGGCAGATCACTTGTGCTCAGGAGATTAAGACCAGCCTGGGCAACATGGAAAGACCTCATCTCTACAAGAAATACAAATATTACCCAGGCATGGTGGCACACGTCTATAGTCCCAGCTGCACTCAGGACCACAGGAGGGAGGTGGGAGGATCACTTGAGCCCAGGAGGTCAATTGAACAATTGCACTCTGGCTTGGGCGACAGAGTGAGACCTTGTATCAAAAAAAATTAATACATTAATACCAATTAACTTGGAAAAATTAGAAAATAAAGGAAAATACAAGATGGAAAATACCCATAGTTCCACCATGAAAGAGAATCATTGCTAACCTTTTCCCTTCATCTCTTTCTGGTCTTCGTGCATGCTTGCTTTTTTCTTACCAAGTTGCAATCATACTAATGTATTAGATATTATAGGTTGGAGATATTTGGACTTTCAGAAACCATGCATAAAGGGGATGACAAGCCACAGACTGGGTCTTCAGGTGCACAAAATTGTCATTTTCTTCTTTTGAATGATTGAATTTAATTTAGTTCTTGACAGCTTTTGATGCTGTCGATCACTTAAACTTGCCAATTCAAGTGAATTAAAACTTAAGTTCTAGTGTTCAATAGCACAGCAAGGTGACTATAGTTAAAACAATTTATTGTATACTCCAAAATAGCTAAGAGAGGCTTTCAAATGTTCCCAACATAAAGAAACAATAAATGCTTGAGGTGATGGGCATCCTGATTACCCTGATTTGATCATTACACACTGTACTTATATATCAAAATATCACACATTCCCCATAAATATGTACAATAATTATGTATCAATTAAAAATAAAAATAGAAAAAGTATGCATACTCAAAATCAAGCATTAGAAAAAAAGAAACCTAAAACTTAGCTGCTTTTGGCTGGGCACAGTGGCTCATGCCCGTATTCCCAGCACAAGGATCGCCTGAGTTCAGGAGTTCGAGACCACCCTGGGCAACATGGTGAGACCCTGTCTCTACTGAAATACAAAAAATTAGCCAGCATGGTGGCACATGCCTATAGTCCCAGCTACTGGAGAGGCTGAGGCACAAGCATCGCTTGGGCCTAGAGGCAGAGGTTGCAGTGACCTGAGATCACGCCACTGTGCCACTGCACTCCAGCTTGGGCTACAGAGTGAGAGTCAGTCTCTTAAAAAAAAAACTAGCTGCTTTTAGGTTTAGAGACTCCCTCTTTTCCTGTCCCTTCTGCTGCAGTGACCTGGGGCAGGTCCCTCTGTGTGCCCTGTCCTGCTATTGTTACTCTGGCCCACAGGTTGTGTCTTCGACATCCCAGCTTTTGTCTTTTCTACTTATGTGTGGGAATATTGGCAATGCTGTCTGCCCCTCCCACTCTCCCGCTGCACGTCCCCTCCCCCTGCACACCCACCCCCACATTCACTGCCAACCCATCCACCAGCCCATCGCAAGGCTGCCCCCAGGGCTCTTCACCCAGGCCGTCTACCCTCTCCATCCTGGCTCAGGCTACACAAGAGGCTCCTCCGCAAGGTTCCTAGGTCCAGTGGCCTCACTGTCAAAGCCCCAACACCTCTGCTCCAGGCCCCAATAAACTGACCTCCCAGTTCCAATCTATACCTGCTATGCAGGGCCAGTTAAACCCCCTGAGACTGGGCTCTGCCTCAGTCCCTCCCACCAGAAGTGGGGATGCACAGAACGTTCATCCTTACTCCGAAGAGCATTGCTCCAAGACCTCCAGGCATCAGCTCTTGAGATTTAAAATCAAACTTTGGGAAGCCAGAAAGCCTGTTTTTTCCAGGCCGTCACTGCCGTACACCTTTTAAGAAGCGATTTTGAAGCACAAAGCCACGGGCTGCTTCTGACCTCACTTTGCTTGGACAGAAGCTTCAGCTTGGAAGGTCTACTTTTTAAGGATAAAGGGAGTTAGGAAATAAATATTGTGATAGGCACTTTTAAAAATGTTACCCTTCTCCATTTGTACCCTAACTTAATCTCTGCATTCCTGAGGAAGATACAAAACAAAACTTGTTTAGCTGACTTCCCTTTCCCCCTCTTCCTTTCAAGAAAGTAAAGGAGTTTTTCTCCATTCAGAAAATTTATTCTCTGATTTATTCTCCAAAGTTCTCCAAGGTTGGGTAATCCTAGGAAGAGGTGTTACTCCTCTCCCAGAAGCTTGGAGTCCCTTGGCACTGCCTCACGCCCCAACCCAGCTGGAAGAATGTTGATTATCGCTACTGTTTTCCAGAAAATGAGCCTCTAAAATTACCACCACCCTGAACTGAAGCAAGCCGGTTGCTAATCAATAAATGTCCACTTGCAATTAGGATAACACATAGTTCTCTGAGCTGAGAGCTAAATTGGTAATTGCTCTCCTGTTATTTCCCATGGTTAAAAAAAAGGCCAGGGGGGTGGTTGAGTAACCTGGCTTTTTGTTTCAACTTTCATTTTCAACTTGAGAGCAAAGACAATAGCAGAAAGCCAGGTGGACTGGGCATTCTTCCTTTTGTTTGCCTGCTTGAATACTTGTGTTTGGAGCGTGTGAGGGGTGGTTCCAGGTCACTTAAGATGTGCAACAGTCACTCCTCTCTTCACTCAGTTGGGGGGCTGTCGATTCTGGCTGCCCCCGCCATCCTTCTAAGGCTAGTTCTTTGTGGTCGTTATTCTGTATGTGGTCTGTTCAGAGCAATGATGGTCTTACACCTTCAGGTTTCATGGGATCATCTCTCGGGAGCAGGCGGATGAGCTTCTCGGAGGCGTGGAGGGTGCCTACATCCTTAGAGAAAGCCAGCGGCAACCAGGATGCTACACGCTGGCTCTCAGGTGAGGCGCATTTCATTCCTTGTTTTCATTGCTGTACAAGTGGCTTCACTGATGTTTGCCCATTTTTAAGAATTGCAGTAGAATATACATAACACAAAATTCATCGTTTTTCCCATGTTTATTTTATGGGGGGGTCCCACTCTCTCACCCACATTGGAGTGCAGTGGTACAATCACTGCTCACTGCAGCCTCTGCCTCCCAGGATCAAGTGCCTCCCACCTTAGCCTCCTGAGTAGCTGGGACCACAGGCACACACCACCATGACTGGCTAATTTTTTTTCTTTTTTCTTTTTTCTTTTTTTTTTCTGTAGAGAAGGGGGTCTCACCATGTTGCCTGGGCTGGTCTTGAACTCCTGGGCTCAAGCCATCTGCCTGTCTCAGCCTCCCAAAGTCCTGGGATTACAGTCATCAGCCACTGCATCTGGTCTCCTTTTTCCCTTTTTTTTTTGAGACAGAGTCTTGCCCTGTCACCCAAGCTGTAGTGCAGTAGCGCGGTCTTGGTTCACTGCAAGCTCCGCCTCTTGGGTTCACACCATTCTCCTGCCTCAGCCTCCCGAGTAGCTGGGACTACATGTGCCTGCCACTACGCCTGGCTAATTTTTTATATTTTTAGTAGAGACGGGGTTTCATCGTGTTAGCCAGGATGGTCTCGAGCTCCTGACCTTGTGATCCACCCGCCTCGGTCTCCCAAAGTGCTGGGATTACAGGCATGAGCCACCGCGCCCGGCCTCCTTTTACCATTTTTAAGTAAAATTCAGTGGCATTAAGTACATTCTCAATGTTGTGCAAACATCTCCATATCCATTTCCAGAACTTTCTCATCATCCCAAACAGAAACCCGCTACCATAAACAATTACCCTCCCTACTCCTTACTTGGTATCTTCACTTGTTTCTGAAGTACCAGCAGTCTATCAGAGGTTGTATACATTTCCTCAGTCACAGATGCTATCAGTAGGTATGGACACTGGGACTCTGAGTATGGACACACAGTGAACTGGAGAACCATCTGGAAAGCTAGTGTTTCTACAGCCACTTCTGCCTGCACCATCTAGCTGGCCGAGGCCACAGCATCTCTGCCTCAGCTCCCAGCAGCCCATGTTGAAGGAAGGGCTTCTTCACCTGGCCTTGCACGTGCAGACCTCACAAGACCTGCATTTGCTCATGGGGTTCTCTCAGGGATCACCTTGTTGATCCCAGGAACCTGTCGTGAGGGCAGTCATGACCCTTCAGGCCAACGAGCCAGTAGAACAGGCTCTCCTGAGCCTTTACCACAAAATCACAACTATTAAACATCACAACACAGGAAAGACAGCACATTTATGGCACTTTTCAAACCTTGATCAAATATTTTCTGTCATTTGATCCTCGCCGCAGCCCTGTACGTTTTGGGGAAGGTATCCAATTTCAGAACTGAATTGTCTTTCAAAAGTTCGTTTGTGAACTCTTCGGAATTGGAAAACCCTCTCTCCATAGAGGGAATGGTGTCCGTGGGAGCCCTTCCCAGGCCCACAATGGTGTGTTCCATGCACCATCTCCCTATTATGGCTGTGCAGTGACACTTTCCAAGTTGCAATATGTCTACAACGTATCTTAAATAATGTAATTATGAGGATGAACTTAAAAAGCTATTATATCACGCGCTGTAGGTGTGCAAAATACTTTCCTATCTTCCCAGCGCTTCAGTAGCAGAAGCTGGCAGTTCTAGTGGGAAGTCAAGCAGGGGCTGTAGATGGAAGGCCAGGGCTCAGAGAGGAGGGAACCTATAGATTAGATTGTGGGGATGCTGGCAATGGCTCCAGCAGGGAGTTTAGCACACCTTATTGCTTCCCTTCTGTTGCACCAACTAGGGTGGAAGGCATGGGGTGCTCTGCTGGAGGTGGTAAAGATGCGATAATAAAGAGGCATCAGGACGAGGGGCAGGGCATCCCTTGCAGAGTAATTGCCAGGTATAGAGGAGAGCTGGTTCCCATTAAGTAAGTTTATAAGTAACATAGTTGTAAATCAGGCATTACCCTCTGACTTTTACAAATGAGAAGGATACTGACAATGACCTTAGTGATTTCTAGGATCAAACGACTCCAAGTGACGACCTGGGGTTAAGCCCCACCTCTGCCTTGTTCCAGGCATATAAACTCAAGCAGGAACCGCCAGTCTCTTCAAGTGTCAGTTGCCTTTGCGGTAAAACAGGCATAACCGTTATACCATCTCAAAGGGTCTCTATGATCATTAGGGGGAAAAAATAATCACATCAAATGCTTAGCCCTATGCCTGGGCTACACTAAGTATTCAAAAAACGTTAGCTGCTGTTATTATCATTCCACGCTGTGCTTATTTCTAACGTGGTTGTAATCCCTCATTCTGTCATGGGCAGGTTTGGAAACCAGACCTTAAACTACAGGCTCTTCCACGACGGGAAACACTTTGTGGGCGAGAAGAGGTTTGAGTCGATTCACGATCTGGTGACAGATGGCTTGATAACACTGTACATAGAAACAAAAGCTGCCGAGTACATTTCAAAAATGACAACTAACCCCATCTACGAACACATTGGATATGCCACCCTACTCAGAGAAAAAGTATCCAGAAAGCTGAGCAAGTCTAAAAACGAACCAAGAAAAACAAACGTCACACACGAAGAACACACGGCGGTGGACAAGGTGAGCTATGTGTGATGGAAACAGCCCTTCTCGTTTTAGTCCATGCCGAGTCAACAGGCGGGTTAACTGTAGGTGCGATTTGCTGGAATGTTGGAGGAGAGCCACCCTCACCCAAAGAAGTCTAGAATGTTAGTGCCAAAGGGACCTTAGAAATCTAGTTCAGGCTGGGCGCGGCGGCTCACGCCTGTAATCCCAGCACTTTGGGAGGCCGAGACGGGCAGATCACGAGGTCAGGAGATCGAGACCATCCTGGCTAACATGGTGAAACCCCATCTCTACTAAAAATACAAAAAATTAGCCGGGCGTGGTGGCGGGTGCCTGTAGTCCCAGCTACTCGGGAGGCTGAGGCAGGAGAATGGCGTGAACTCGGGAGGCAGAGCTTGCAGTGAACGAGATCGCGCCACTGCACTCCAACCTGGGCGTCAGAGCGAGACTCCGTCTCAAAAAAAATAAAATAAAATAAAAAATCTTCTAGCCCAGGCCCCTCATTTTACAGGTGAAGCCCAGAAATGTTTGATGATTTGTTCAAATTCATACAGTCAGACCTAGGACTTCTACCAAGTCATTTGTGGGTTTATTTGGAGTTTGAAAGAAAAAAAAGAAAACCTCCATTAGCGTGTTATGATGAAACACGGTTTCAGTTGCCATTTGAGGTGTCACTGGCTCCATCTGTAGTTCCACCCAGCCTGCCAAATATGTGATATTTGTATTTGCTTCTCTTAGGACTGGGTGACTGCCCATGATCCACAGGTCAGGTCTCTTGAAGGTGGTCTTACTTAGATAACAGGTTTCACTGACAGATATGGGAGCATTTCACTGACAGATATGGGAATGTGGCTATCTCTAGGAAGCTTAGAAAGACAGGCTGTCCTTTGCCCCAGACAAAGTTATTATGCCTCACCAAGGATTTAAAAAACTCCTAAGTGGGCACATATGCAGGCGGGGGTGGATTGTGGCAGGAGGTGGCCGGGGAGATCTGATTTTCCTCTCCAGTAAGTTACTGTGTGTTTGAAAGGCACCACCAGAGTTTGCTAGCAGATTTTTTGGGATGTGCCCCTTGAGGGACCATCTGCTTTGCCTGGTCCTATCCGTTTCCTACTGAAGGAAAGTGATAGCCAGCCACGCCAGTCAGCCCCTGCAGAGTCGGTGCTGAGCCCAGCTTCTCAGGCACACTAGGGCTGGGACAGATAGAAATAAGCTGATAGGAGGTACAGCCCTGCCACACTGCTCCTTCCAGTGGTCGCTAATCCTAGTTAAACCGGAGCGGGCCTCCTGTCGTCCAGTGTCAATGGGAAGCAAAGGAGCCTCGGGCTGACGAACTTGGGACTGGCATTGGCAGAGGGGCTTCATCAGAAAGCCCTGAGAGGAGGAGGGCGGGGTGGCACCGTGGTCCCATTGGCGCAGACAGGGATGATCTCAGTTGATTTGCTGATTGAGCTTCAGATCCTAGGAGAAACTTCCACAGAATCACATCAGTGCAGCAGCTGGGCCCATGAAAACATAATTTGCCATTTTCTTTTTATAACCCAGTGTCTCCAAAGCACCTGTTTATTATTTTCCAAATAATTGCTTTGGGAAAATTGTGGGGTTTCTGATTGTTTACATGTTAACAAAAGAGAGAGAGGACTTGAGTCCCAACTTTCAGTTTGTTCCGGTCCAGACAAAAGCCATTCCTTAGTCTGTTTGCAAAATCTCTTCCAAAGTAATTTAGAATAGAAGATATGAAAGCCAACCTTCCCAGCCATGACAAATCAGAAGATGAATTGTAAAATAAAACTCTGAAGCAGTGTTTATATTTCTGAATCAGAGAGCAAAGCCACGAAAAAGGCAATCTGTTACAAACTGCAGGATGCACACTCGAACATCTCAAGGAAAAGGAGAGCAGGAGGAGTGTCTCTTCTGTGTTAGGGCTGAGTTGAGATCCTGGATATTGAAAGTGATATTTCTAGATTCTTGTCCTCCCCCGAGAGGGAAGTTTGGTCAATAGAAACTGATATTTCTGGACAATATTCCTATCAGGAAACTTGTAACTCAAAATATGCCCTCTTGTGCAGATATTTTTGTATTTATTTGTCAAAAATAAATGGTGGAGGAAATTAGTAATCCAATTAATAATCACTTTGAATGAGGCACCCAGTATACATTTACCTTCCTGGGAAATGGTAAATCAAGAAGATATTGCAGGAAGACACCCACACTCCCTGAGCAGTTTGATGGACAGGTGTCAGTGGTGTGGATTTTCTTGGACACTAATGATGTGATGTTTGGTTGTCCCAGGGGACACTGTGGACACTGGGCCTGATCACTTGCTGGGGGCTACTCATTTTGTTAGTAGGTTTGTTAAGTTAGTTGGAACAAATCCATCTGTTTCTCTCTGCCCTGTGTTGACAAGTGGAATTATTAAAAGTCTCAGCCTTGCCAGAGATTCTGTTTCCCTTAAGGGCAGGTCAGTGGCCCGTTGCCATGGAGTCAGTGACTAGAAAAGAGGGACCGGAAACCTGAATGGCTTCACTGAGAAGAGTGGGTGGGGGGAGGGTACCTGTTTGCTGTGGTAGGGACACGTCCTGAAGGTTTTAATGAGTGAAACGAGCAGGTTTCCTAATATTTCTCAATTCCAGACACACCAGCATTTCAGTTTCCAAAGTACTTAAATTTCGTTTTCTCGTTTGTTTTATTGATCATTTCCAAATGAATCCAGAGAGATGATGTTACCTGTGTATCCAAGAATACTAACACAGTGTTAGTTGGCAAAAAGAGATTACCTACTCCATCAGATTTGAATGGTTTCCAGATTTCTCTCCAATCACGATTGTTAGCAGTAAACTTGATTTTAATAACTGTAGATGAGATGGAGAGGAAGGGAGGAAGCCAGAAAAAAAAAGTTGTGATGGTTAGCCAATAGTGATCCGTCTTCCCACTGATTCTTTATTTGGCTGAATTTAAAAACATTATGATGTATGTGGGCCACCATTCGGTGCATTTAATTAAAATGGTCACGTCCAGTGTCATTTCTTCTATGAAACGCATTTCAGAACTTATTCCATAGACGGATTATCTACTGACCTTCACATACAGCACTGTAAGCAACAAAGGAATAACAGGAGATTTAACATGAGCTCAGACATTTAGTGTTAAACACATTTCACGTATGTGAACTAATTTCCCGTTTTATCCCTCAGAACCACTTTGCCAGGTCCATAGAGCAGGAATCACCCTCCCTATTTTGTTGAAAGGCTCACAGTGGCAGGGTGAGGAATCAGACCCAGGCTTCCTGATTCCAGGCTCAAAGCTTCTTAAATCAACTGAGCAGATGTGCCTCGTTCTGTGCTTACTGCCCTTAGTGCTTTGAGCGAACACCCTTGGTTTTGGCCATCCTGAGGCAAGTGATGCTAAAAGTCACTCAATATTTACATGATCTGTTTCTGAAAACAGATCATGCAAACCGAAAACTGCTATTACGAGCTATAATAACTAGTATTTTCTTATAAAGTATACCCTACAAATCCAATACATATGACAACAGTGTTTTTGATAATACATTTTTATTCAATAAATATGGTTTGTCATATTAAATTGCATCTATGTTTTAGTGGGGAAAAAATCATCCATGCCCTCGATATAATAAAAGCACGTTAAGAATATGTTATACCAGTTTATTCATTTCACTATTTGTTATAGCAGCAAAAATTAGAAAATGACCTTAATGTCCATCAATTTGAGACTGCTTAAATGAATTATGGTACATCCGTGTTAAGGAATATCACATTACCCCAGGAAAAGAATGAGAACCCTCATATGGGCTGATATGGAACGGGCACCTGGAATTGTTATATGGAAAAGGGCCTGGCAGTGTGGTGTGTACAGTATGGTATTATTTGAGTAAACTAGTAGAAAAAAAAATATTTTTATTGATTTTTATTTTAAAACTTTATTTTATTTTTTAAAGACAAGATCTCGCTTTATTGCCCAGGCTAGTCTCAAACTCGTGGGCTCAAGCGATCCTCCCATCTCAGCCTCCCAAGTAGCTGGGATTACAGGTATGAGCCACCGCATCCAGCCAAAAAAAGCTTTTGCATATATTTTTTTCGTGCAAAGTCATAAATATCCCTTGAAGGGTGCAAGAGCCAGTATCACTGGTTGCCTTTGAAGGAGGGAAGTCCTCTTGCTTTCTTAGGGCAGGCACCGAAGCTCTCTTTGGTTTCTACTTTCTTCCTGCCAAACCAAAGAGAGTTACGTTTTCTGGACTGAAGGCCTTCCAACCTTACCGGGCTGTCCTCCTTTACAGACGAACTGTTTCAGCAGAGAACCTCTCCCCTCTCCTCTTCCACTCACATTTTTGTTTGTTTGGTTGGTTGGTTTTTCTTTCTAAATTATTTTCTTCCTTTCCAGCTGCCCATCTTTATATCCAAGCTGGTCCTTTCATTGGTTATTTCACTGTTTCCACCATGTGATCTGCTAGCCTGTCCCGGTATCTTTGCCTAGGAATGATTCCCTACAATGTGCTTGAACAGAGGCCATGGCCAGGCCAAGGAGTGAATGTCCAGCCCTCGCTTACCAGCAGAAGTCTTCATACAAGGTTGAGCCTGTCCTGAGTGGTTCTCCCCAGTGCGATGCTCGCCTCTCACGGCTGGTGTCCCCGTGGTGACTCTGTGCACATCCGAGTGTTATTGTTGTTGCTGTAATTCTGGAAAAGCTCTTATTTGCTTTTTCTACACGACAGAGTTCAAATTCCTCACAGGATATTTGCAGCCTGTCTAAGCCTGGGCCCGTTGGAGAAGCATAGCCTGAGACTGGGGTTTGGTACAGACGGGGAATTTGGAAAGGCATCCCAGGGGGAGGAGGAGAAGCTGGCCAGGTAAATAGAGGAGGAGAGAGGCTGGTATATGCACGCTGTGGAGCTGGTCACCTTCTCAGGAGCCGGGTAGAACTGCTCCTAAGAGGAATTTAAGTGGGAGTGTTTAAGGCATCACCTCCTGTCCCCTCTTGGTTGAGGGGTGCCT